CACACAGACAAGTCATTTGTTTACCTGCTGTGCCAACTCTCGGGTTGGAGCTAAAATCAAAGCATATGGTCCCTTGTCAGCATCAGTGTCTCGTTCTATCTTAGGCAGTCCCATGATCCACACCAACAAAGGAATTAAAAATGCTGCTGTTTTTCCACTACCTTTACAAAATAAAAATATACAATAATATAATTTATCAATACATATTAGTGATGCAAACTTGGTGTCCTATTAATAGTGTTCACTATTGATCATCCACCATTTATGAAGGGAACTTATAGTTAATCTAAGATAACTAGCTAATCAAGGTTTTATTTGTGCAATTTAAAGGCATTTTAATTTCAATATTCATGGATTAAACTTAACATAAGTGACTGTTGCCTTTGTGGCACAAAGCACAAAAAAATCAAGATTAAATAATGAAAAATTAGATGTCCAACTCAAAATGACTCTGCATCAGCCAGGCTTCCATTATCACAAATCTGCAAAAACATATTGTAACTATCATTGCAACTTGCAACAGAATAAGCTGAAGATAAAGCTATATTGTGCGCAGAACTTCAGACCTGTCTCTGCTACTCCTATGATGTCCCTGTTCTGAAGCCCGATTGGAATGGCTTGACGCTGGATTGGTGTTGGTTCCTAAAAAGACATGACAGGTCTAAATTACATTGCTCACATGCAAGAACTCAGGGCACTTTAGAACTTACAGTCTGCCATATGTTGCCTTGCAATACTATGGGATGGGTTGGGAAACTTGTATGGAGCCCAGGGCCCCATGGTCCCTAAACTTAACACCATACATAACTTTGAACAGCACTGCTAGGTTGCCTGTGGTTACCTCGTATCCCAGTTTGTCAACTATATCAAGTATCTCCTTGGGAAGAGGACTCTCCTTCCATGATCTCAGTGGGTATGGAATCTTACCACCTAAAACAAAAACAAAACTCTAAATAGTAAAATTATCACCAACTGGCTATCAATCGACTGGTTTACAACACCAGGTTTATAACACTAAACGTTTTCAATCAAGATGTAGAAGTGCTCACCCTTCGTGGAAATGGTGAAATCCTCTCGCAAAATACGCCAGTCTCTTTCAGCCATCTCTTCTAGAGATTTCTTGCTCCAGTGACGGTCATCATGAGCACGCTGTCTTTCCAGATCACGTTGTTTCTTTACTCGTGACCTAAAATTGAACAAATTATGCTTTGGGTGTTTTTCAAATTTATTTCGCAGCTAGCTGTTGTGGGAAAAGCATGCAGGAGAGAAGAAAGGCAAAAACATGGAGTAAATTAAATTTTTGATTTCAAGTTAAAATTTTGAATTAGAACTTTGAGTTGGAGTCATAAGTTTAACATTTTCAAAGTTCTGTAGCTTCAGCCTGTAAACAGAAAAATCTGTCAAGATCCCCTGAGAACACTGTACATACAAAAGAATGAGTAGCTCATAGCAATTCACTTACGCCTCTTGGGTCTTTTCTTCAACAGTTCGTCTTTTCTCCAACATTTCCTGGTAAAATTTTCCTGTTTCTTTCTTCTGCCACTGTTTGAATAAATAATTCTCCATAAATTTTATTATAAAATTATTCTGTAGAGCATCAGTTTACCTATTATCACATGTACACAGAGTGTCGACTACACTCCACCGTATCTTGAGTAGTAAATCCTCCAGACACCTACCAACTGAAAAGCCAACTTTACTTTTAAATGCATACACATGCAAGCAGGTAGCAGTATTGTCTTTCCTCCTGCAAGTGGTTATCATACATTGTATGCGATGCCTCCATCTCCCATTCCAACATTCAAGTTGTCACTGATACTCATTAGTTAGTGTAGAGAAGTACTGTGAGAGTAGGGTGTCCTGCCCAAGAACATAATGCAAGGATGTTGGTCAAAATCGGGAAACAAAGATGAGCCCTAAGCACTACTTCCTGAGCCACAGCACCTTTAGCCATGGCACTTTTGACATGAACATCCCATTTGCACAGTCACAAAAACATACCTTAATATCAATTCCACCAATGTGTCCTCTTCCAAAGAGCTGTATCTGATGCTTCTCCACATAACTGTAGACAAAAAAGAAAACAAAACACATGCAATGCTTGTTAAACATGTCACTTGTGTCACCACCCTCTGAATATGAGTTGAGTTTGTTATTGATGGTTTACAGTATTTGAAGTAAGTTCTCACATTGGATTGTAATCCACAGCAGTGTCCTCTCCTGTGTCCCATTCAAACACAAACTTTCTGTCAGCAAGACGACGTATCTTCTTTCTCTTTTTAATTCCACCAAGGTACCGTTCCTGAAATGAAGCACATTAATTTGAAGTAGTGTCTGTAGTCTATAAGTAATTTGGGTATATATTTACTACTTTTATTACTTAACAAGTAAAGAAGTCTTCACCCTTGCGGTAAGGTGAGGTATGCTGTGATAAAACACAACAGGAATATGAAAGCACCTGTGGCTCATGTTTTCTACATTTCTCAAGTGTTCTCAAATTTCTTATCCTATACAGACCTTCCGGCCCTATCCCCCACTCGGGGGCAAGGAACTAAGCAAGCATACAGACCTTAATAGCTTGGACTTCCTTGTCATGGTCTTTTTCCTACAAAAATAACAATTATTGTTTGTGGATAAAATCTACTACTTAAAAACAGAAAAATTTGTGGAGGCCAGTTTCCTTCACCTATTCATCTACTGCTATCCAGTCAGGGGGAGGGTAGAAATCCTAGTCAGTTCACACGACAGAAGCCAGAGATAAGCTGGCTCATAGGCAGACTATTCATCTACTGGCCAGTACAAGTTCCTTTGGAAGTCAAGATGTCTGAGGTGCATAACATAACGACTGCTTTTACGGGAAACAACTCAGTAGCATTGCATCTCTTGAAATATTTTTCTCTTGACTCGTGATTGATTGATTGATTGATTGATTGATCGATCGATCAATCGATCGATTGATGTGTTTTCCTGTTCAACATATAAATTTATTAACAACCAAGAAGAAAAAAAGTGATCCTGAAATCATTCCCTTAATCCAACCAAACTGTGCCACATCTGTCACATTTTGATCCATGTGCTTGGAAACATTTTGAGTTTGGGCATTACCACATGACCAGAAAAAATGCTGACCATGTGCTAGGTCCATTTTAACCCTAGCCATAACCTACGATTTATACTCTTCAAGGAAGCATGCATCTGAGTTAAACTACCTATAAAAAGCTAAAAGCATGCATACCTTTCGCAGTTTTGCTTTCTCACTTTCAGCCTAAAGATGGAAAACAAAATGACTCAAATTCATAAATAAGTACATGTAAGAGTACTGAATGGTCTGCAAGGCTTACAAATCTGCTCTCACTGACATAAGGTTTGTGTATTGCTCCTCGTATTAGTTACTTTTATCAATAAAAGCAGCCTAATGCAACCTTTCAACAGCAATGAACAAAGCTCAAACCTCTTCTTCAGTGAGGTTCTTTTCTCTCCTTTCTCTTCTTTCTCTTCTCTCTCTTTCTACTTCATCCTCTGTAGGAAGAGAAGATACAGTATATGGAACAACAACGACGTAAGTCTATTTCATTCACAGAGAATGTAACTTTATAACTTGTAAAACAAAACTATTTTATTCCCACACCAACCCTATAAATTGAGTGTTAAGTGAGGGGGGAAGAACAGGAAAGGCATGAGGGAGAAATGGCCTAAAAAAAGTTGAGAGGAGGGAGAAATAGGAAAAAAATGGGGAGGAGGGAGAACTGGATTGAACTGGATGGGGAAATAATTTCATAGAATATTTAAAGTAGGAATCAGGGAAAAATTGGCTCAAAAAGAAGAGAGAAGGAGAATTACCCTCTGTTCCTCCCCCCTGTTAAGTTAGTAACATCCACTAGATAAAATATGAGTCACATTCATGGCCTGGGGCACCTGGTTGTGTGATATGTATGGCAATTGTGATAAAAATTAAAAGCTAGAAAATAGGTTGATTTGCATACAGCAAAAACAAAAGACAAACCTCTAGAATACTGTGCCTCTCGAAGAAATTTCTCTCTCATTTGACGTTCTTCCTGAACAACAAAATGAAGCATTTGAAACCTTTGGATTTGTCATCCACATTATAAAATTTGAAAACACAATCTTCTGACCTTAGTCTGATCAAAAAGTAAAGACCTTCTTTCTTACAAGTGTACCTCAGTCTTTTTCCGCTGCTCTTCAACTTGTTGTTGTCTTCTCTTCAGTGCCTCCATGGCTCTTTGTTCTTTGGTCAAAAATGTCGGCTGGGTTAAAATAAAATAAAATAAAATAGACTTAAGATAAAGACAAGGGACAACGCCTCAAAGTAGCAATGAAAAAAAAACAACTTATGCATAAAATTGCAAACTATAATGTTAATGCTTACAAATGAAATGCATATACCCTAATTAATAACTACTCCACAGGGTACCAACGCAAGTAGCACTGTGGGTCCCTGTGAAAACATTTACCTTTTCTTGTGCTTTCTTTTCAGCTTCTCGTCTCGCAATCATTTCCTCAAGCGACAGGGGCTATACCAGAAACAAAAACACTTGATAAGCATGCAGCAAGGATTATGACAGCAATGTTTAAGGCAATACACTGTGCATTTAAAAGCAGCAAAGGTTGATCTGCGTTAGCTATTGTTTGACGAATCTTCTCTGATGACCAAATTGTTCCATATACAGTGTACAACCGTACATGTTCAGTAAGAACTGAATTGAAACTGTCTACATTTCTACTATATATGGCAAAGAAATTCAATGTAATCCAGTTGTTTTGTCCCATAGGAAATTATTCACTAGCTATTGCAGTACTCAGAGAAGGAACACCAAAATGACACATTGAGTCAGGATTATGTGGTAACTATGAAAAGGCTACCAGAAAAGTCGGTTTTACAGAACATTTTTTTGTAGGAGATGTGTTGCACCAATAGTTAACAAGTTGGACCTCAGATTAAGTGACCTGGGTCAGAGATGCACAATACTTTAGCATGTTCACCTCAACTTTTGTAGTTTTTTCTTGTTCTTGTTCTTCTTCATCTTTATTATGATCATCTGGTCTGTTTAGGAAAAAAAAAA